CCTCCATATATACCCAAAGATCTTAAAATCAGCATACTATAGTGACACAGCCACATCAATTTTATAACAGCTCAATTCACAATAGCTAAGCTAACGGAACTAACCTAGGTGTCCTTCAATAAATAAGTGGATAAAGAAAATGTGGTATATATACACAATGGATGTTACTCAGTCATAAAGAAGAATGAATTATGTCATTTGCTGGTAAAGGATCTGGAGACTATCATGTTAAGTGAAATAAGCCAATCCCCAAAAAACCAAAGGCTGAATGTTCTCTGTGATATTCAGATGTTAACATACAATTGGGTGAGGAAAGAATAGAAGTTCAATGAATTAGACAAAGGGTAATGAAGGGAAGTGGGAATGGGAATAGTACAGAAAGTAGAATAAATTGGATATAACTTTCCTATGTTCATATGTGAATACACAACTAGTGTAACTCTATATCATGTACAACCACAAGAATGAGAAGTTATACTCCATGTATGTATAATATGTCAAAATACACTCTACTGTAATGTATATCTAAAAAGAACAATAACAAAAAAGACTCAACAAGATCTCTGGTTTCTGAATTAATAAAACACAGGTCAACCAAAATCCTACTAAGCTTCTGAGAATACTGTAAAACTTTACACCCTACAAGTGAAAAGCTGTGATTGTTCAGTCCCTATGGAAATCCAGGGACCCCCACCTCACAACAAAAGAAAGTAGGCTACTAAAAAGTACAGCCCCTAAAAAAGAGTGTACTCCAAAATGTCCAAGGAGATCTTCCCAGGAAGGCACACTGACCAAATTGACCAAGCAACTAACTCTATTGCTAATAAAAAGTTTTCAGGATATTCCCATCAAGCTGGTTTTGAGTTAGGGGCTTGGTCATCACTGTGTGTTGTTTTCCTTTTTCTTTTCTGAACTGTTTAATCATTGTAAAATGAGAATATGAGGAGAAGGAGGAGGGAGGAGAAAAGTTAAAATATACTTACAGTTTTCCAGACCAAAGAGTTGATGCTGGATGCAATAACTGGATGAGTCTAAATTATCTTCTTTTTAGGAGGTGATATGAGTTTGTTTTAAAATCATATGTGTAATAGTTGCATTAGGTAAGTAATATATTTCTGAATTATATGGATGAAGGTATGTGTATGTGGTAACATGGCTCCCAACAATCTTCACCTTGTGATAATTGTATCCTGTGTAAATCTCTTCACTTGGGTATGAGGTGGACCTAAGAGTTTGCTTGTATTGAAAAGAATATGGCAAATATGACCTTATAAAAATTATGACTTAACGTCTTAATGTTTGCTGTCTGGCTCTTCACACTTACTTGCTCTGATAAAGTAAACTACGAAGTTGCAAAATACTCTATGGGAAGAACACATATAAGGAACTAAGAGAAATCTGAAACCCTTGGTCCAAAAGACACTGCTGAACTGAATCCTGCCAATAGTGTCAATGAGCTTGAAAGCAAATTTTCCCTCTTTGAGCCTTTAGCCCTGCCTACCACCGTTATTGCAGCCTTAAGAGACTTTTGAGCCAGAGAAGCTAGCTAAAGCAAGCCTGGATTCTTGACTAACAAAAACAGAGAGATAATAAATGTTGCTGTTTCAAGCCACAGGTAACAATAAATAAATAATACAGTATGGCTGCTAAACAATCAAAGGAAAGAAATAAGTGGATATCTATTTTGTCTGCCCAAAATCAAATCATATCTTTTCTGATAAATATGCCTTGATTGTCCTTTTAGGAACAATTCCACTAATTTCAGTGAATAAATAAGTAGCTCAGATGAGTTGACTCATCTTCCCCGTCTCCCTTAATCAAATACATTAAACCCAGACTTAGCACATGAGACTAAAACGCTGAGACTTCAGATGGAATTACTAAGAAGAGAAGTACTTTCTGCTGGACTGGCAGTTAATAGAATGTACACCTAGAGCTACCAAAGTCACAAAATGGAGAAAGCCTTTCTGAAAATGAAGCCAATTACAGAGAAAAGGAGAGACGAAGTGATAAAGTTATTTACACCTAATTTAAACCTGAACCAATGCCTCAAGTCAGCCTGTGACTTGACTTTGCATAAGCCAGTAATATTTTTCCTTCCCTTCTCACATTAGGTTAATTTGAGTTGAATTTATGGGGGGAAAAAAAGATTTTCAAAATATCAACCTAGGAGGTCCATGAGAATAGGGACAAAATTTGTTCTATTCATGACTATATTCCCTATTGGTTAGCTTAATGCCTGGCAAGTAGGTATCACTCAATAAACCTCTATTGAATGAGTAAAGGAAAATGTTCTGTGTAAAAACACTGTGTAGATCCAATTTAGTTAAAATGCAACCAAATGTTTAAAAACCACTGAAAGCATAAATTTCCCTTTTAAAATAAAGTTTCTGATTATAAAACTTTGAAAAATTATTTACAAATATTAGGTGCAAAGATAATTTGAATTAAATAAGCCATTTAAAAACTTCATGATTCATCTTACCTCAGATAAAAATCCTCTATTACTAGGATGATTCCTTTTTGTTTTGAAAGAAAACTCCTCTTTATAGATATATTCATCTTAGGGCATTTTTGTAATTAAGACTAGTCCTTATTTTGAGTAATACTATATTAGATAGTTCCCATGTACTGTATAAATAGAATAATTACATTCTAAATCAGTTAATTAGAATTCACAATGTATTCTTTGTCACAGATCCACTACAACATATAATGTTTTGATTCTCAAGTTAAATAACTGAAATATAAATTTACATCATCATCTAGATCCAACTATTTGTAGAAAAAGTGAAAGACTGAGGAGCATATTAAACCATATATCTTGCAGGGGCTGATGTAAAATGTGCAAAACCCTGGATTTTGAACCTGGTACTGGAACAAAACAATAATAAGAACAAAACTGCAACAGGTAAGAGACAACTGAAAATATGAATATTTCATGGATATTTGATAATATTAGGAATTTTGTGTGAGTGTGTGTATGTGCGTGTGTGTGGTGCTGGGGATCAAACCTAGGGCCTTGTGCATGTGAGGCAAGCACTCTACCAACTGAGGTACATCCTTAGTTCCAGGAATTATTTTTAAAGTATGAAAATGCTATTTTGGTTATGTTAAAAAGTCCTTATATATTAGCTGTATAATTGAACTTTTCAGATGAAATATGATGTCTGAATTTACTTGAAAATAAATGAAGAAATGAGTGTTGATATGGATGTGATTGACTACTGAAGCTGGGTAATGAATATATAGAGATTTGTACCACTACTCTGTGTGTGGTTTAAATTCTTCAAATAAAAAATTTTTAAATTTAAAATAAGTAAACAGACCATAGAAAAATTATAATTAACCTAATTATTATTAATCTTGTGAACATATCCAAATTTTAAAAATCTAGAGATTGGGGAAAATAAAATATTTGAACAGAACTGATCATGAAATTACAAACTACATGCTTTCAAATTTTTATAGCAATTACAATATGAATTATAAATACTGAAGATAAACGTATATGATATAGATAATAGGAAGAAGAATCTCCCTTTCTTTGGCAGAAGATTTGCACTGGCAAATTGTCTTTGGCCTCTTCCCAACACCTTTTTTCAACTAATTATAATATATTTGTTGAACACTTTTTATATGCAAGCCTGGGCTAGTGGAGCCCCTAGACAAAGACAAAACTGAGAGAAATATAGTACATATGTCTTACTGTAAGAAGCTAACAACAGAGTAGATAATCTACTAATGTTCTCTGACCTATAAACATTTCACCCTATCACCCATTGACACATTCCAAACTCTCAGTATCAATCTTATAAAGAATTTCAATTAAAATTAAATACTAATCCCAAAACAAGGCACCATAGCACATTGAATATCTCAAGCTGAAGGAATCTGAGAAAACAGAAAGAGGAGAAGGTCACTCTGACACTTCTCTAAAGCAGGTTATAAGACCTTCATGTTCCAGAGGAAAGGAATACCCTTGTCTCTAAAAACAGAGAGACTCAGAGAAGAATCTGAACAAACAGGCCTTGCTAAGCTTTCCCATTTATTCCCAATTAGGTATACTACTTTTGCTCTATCATATTATTCCTTTACACCTATCTATTCTTCATCAAACCTAATAATGAAAGCATATCAATTTAACTGTTTTTTTTCTGGACTTATTTTCCTTATGAAGGATCCCATATCATGTAAAATGTATATTACATAAATTTGAATTCTTTTTTCTTGTTAACATGTTCTTTGTCATAGGGGCCTCAGCCAGAAACCAAGAATGATGAGGAAAGATTTTTTTTTCTGCCCCACACTTCCTAATTCCCAATAAGAACTTCCCACCATTTTCCAATTTTGAGTTGCCTTAGGTAATTCTTAAAAGGCAATTTTTTAAAATCAGGTTAATTAAATTCATTCAATTATGAATAAGAATAGCCAGTAATCCCAGCAACTCAGGAAACTAAGGCAAGAGGACCCCAGGTTTGAGATCAGCCTCAGCAACTTAGAAAGATACCATCTCAAAAGCTAAAAAAAAAAAAAAAAAAAAAAAAAAAGACTAGGGATATAGCCCAGTGGTAAAGTTCCTCTCAGTTCAATCCCTAGTACCTATGATAAATACATAAAATAATTTATTCCTGTTGGTAACTAGCAAGTTAGGCCTGCCTTAGAGTCAGTTCTAGTAGTTAAATTTAACTTATTCCTATGTGTCAGAGCTTCTTCCAACTTTCTTCCTTAATTAAATTCACATATTCCATAAACGGTTCAAATTCCACAAACCTGTCCTAAATCTATAACCACAGTAACTACAGCCGTTTCGATTCTCTTTCAATGAAAGGTTCTTATCATCATGAAAAGGTGACTAACTAATGGCATAGTTAAAATGGTTCAAATGTGCCTGAATTTTCATAAATTTTGAGTAAATATAACAAAGATAATTCTATATTATATATAGTGAACTAATGTGAAAAGAAGCAGGCTCAATCATCCTATGATCATAATCATACCTGCATAGTCCGTCTTTTAGTTAATGTTATTTGAAAATTTTTCCACTCCCAACGTTGCTCCACTACATGTGCAAAAACAACATGTCCATTTCCGCAGGCTCCAGCAATCTGAGTGCCATCAATTGACCATGCAATATTAAATATGCTGCCAGTATTGGGTTTTTCTAAAGCATAAGACCACTGAAGGGAAAAAAGAAAGAAAAATTGACTGAACAAAACAAAAATGTTTGTAAAAATTTAAAACTGATCACGGTAACATATTAAGATAATTTTTTAAAAGAATGTATCTTTATCTGGAATTATTAGAAATGTTTTCTTAATAAAATTCTAGTATACTGAACAGAAGATACACATATATTTTTAAAGTATTCAGTAGAAAAACATGATAAAACATTACATGAAATCTCTCAAGAACTGTAAAAACATACCATTTCCATTCACATGATTACTTTCAAGTAATAATACTGAAAGGGTAAACGCAAAGATTCTGTAGGACAAAACAAAGTAAGATATCTTAACGTTCTCTATAGTCTCTACATCTAAAAATTTCTGATTACAGTATTTCAAGAATGTCAGCAAAAACTGAAACTAAACACAAAATGTCACTAAAATATCTTTGATACACATTCTAAATCATGAAAGTTGAAGTACATCTATCCTCTCAGAACTAATCTAGAGATCAATAAGCATCAACTAAGACAAAAGAGATTTTTGCATATGTATACAAGAAGACAGCAAGGAAAAAAAACTATTTGGTAGATGGTACTAGAGGCTTTTTTCAGATGCAACATACATATTTGCAAAAAGGATGATAAATTTGTTTGACTAAACTTATATGCATGTTTTCTTTCCTTATAACGTAGAGTCAAATTTAAGTCTTGAATTCTATTATTGATGCTTTGGGGGTTTTTTGTTTTGTTTTACATTATTATTTTTGCAGAAATATGCATTATTAGGAGTTGGGGGTGTGGCTCGGTGGTAGTGTGCTTCTATCCCCGTACCAAAGGAAAGCAGGGAGGAAACATTCATTATTAGCTATAGGCTCCCTCCAAAAACAAATATGAGAGAAATGAAAAAAAAAAACAGAAAAAAGTCACTATTTTATACTACTGTAATACAAAACTTTAAATTTCTAATAAAAAATTCATACATAAAATAAAATAGTGAATGACTTTTACCACTCACTACATTTTTTTTTCATCTTTTTCACTCTTTTTGAACCCCTAACTGCTTAAACATTACCTTAAGGGGGTAATGAATAAATTATAAGCTTTGATTCATCAGCAGTACGAAATATTAGAAATTTCCTTTTCTGGAATTACAAATATATATATTTTTAAAAGAACATATACATTTCAACATATCTTTTTAGAAAATAAGTAAAGACTGAGAATTTCAAAGACAAAAATAATCTGCTTCTGGCAATAAAAATAAATTAACCCATAATATTTCTGACAAACAAGAATTGTGAAATACTACCACACAACTATTTTATATGAATATTAAAAGTGGTTGACAGAGATAAATAAGACTTGATGTATTGATACCACTTAAGGTTTTGAAGCCGGCTTACACAAATCTTTCATTTTCAATTTAGTCAATTCCTACAGCGTAGATGGAAGAGATCTTAACTTGTATTTTAAAACCATAGATTCATATTTTTAAAGTATTTACTTTAAATTATGTTTTTTCAGTTTGTTTAAATCAAAATGTAAATAAGGTACAATCACTGCGATTGGCTTAAAAAAATCTCTTAGATATGTTTTCATCTAAGTCCTATTTTCCACATTATTTCTTGCCTTGCAGATTTTTGCTGTTGCAGGAACTTGATCATTTGTTCTAAAAAGTTTTTCACATCTGGATTTTACCATTTGTATTCTCGTGGTGTTATTTAACATGTTCTTCTGTCAGTTTTATTTCATATAAATTGATACTTAGATTTAAGAGTTTTGACCAAATTCAGGTTCAATTTTTTGACAAGAAAACTTCAGAAGTGATGTTGTATGCTGTTGTGATTTAAGTAAGGATGTAAATAAAGTTTGGCATAGTCAGGTTTGGCACAGGGAGGAACACTTGGAGGGAATGTGGGAAGATAAGGTTAATTATTCATAGATCCATGAGAGAAGAAAGAAACTCACCTCCCAGTACCAAAGGTAGGGTACCATTTAGGACTCAGGTGCTCAACCAGCAGGTAAGAAGAGAGAGAAAGAGGAAGAAGCTTTTAATGGGGTCCAGGATATTACCTAGCTGATTTTCTGAGACAGAGTGAGATTAGTTAATTTGAAGAGAGCTTAGTGTGGGAACTTGGGAGTTACATTATCAGGTTCACAAGGCTTACAGCAAAAGTAAGATGATCAAAAGAGGCTGAGACAGGAGAATCAAAGCCAGCCTCAGCAAAATTGAGACACTAAGCAACACCTGATAAATCAATTGCTGTTTTGAAAGACTCAGAAATATATTTTTGTACAAAGGAAGGTTAGTCTTGAAAAACTGTGAGGCAGACCAGTTGGATTTTGAATGTGGGCAAATATCAATGGCATCTCCCCAAATAGCCACTACCTTAGTAGTCTATAGCTAGTCAAAATTCTCCCCAGAAAGGGACACCTCCCCAGATTAACCATAAACTATGTTTCCTTTTTTACTCTTTCATCTAAAATCTACTCTCAGATAACCAAATTACTTACCAATTTACCAACTTACTTATTCTGAAAGAACAATATAATAAATTACTCCCAAGATACTATTATATTTTAGGAAATTATAATTTCTTAAATCAAAAGAATAGCTAATGAGAGAAATTTGTTCACAGTGAGAAAGTGGTGAAATCCTTCTACTCACATAACTCATTGTTTAGGTTGGTCATGAACTGCAGTTACAAAGTATTAGTGTACTATTATTTGCTGTAAGAAATTACCACAGACCTAGAGGCATAAAAGAGCACATATTTATTGTCTTATAGTTCTACAAGAGCTAAAATTAAGGTGTTGGTAGGGCTGGCTTCCTTTCTGGAGGCTCTGGACAGGGTCCATTTCCTTGATCATGTGGATTGTTGGCAGAATTCACTTTGTTGCAGCTGTATGTAGAACCTGAGGTCCCTATTCCCTTACTGACCATTTGTACCTTCTAAAGGCCACCTGCATTCCCTGGTTTGTGGTTCCCTTCCTCCATCTTTAGACCAGTAACAGCAAATTGAGCTGCTCTTACTTTGATCTCTCCTCCTTCTCCATCCTCTAACCTAGCTAATAAAGGTGTGCTTTTAAGGACTCATGTAATCCAGATAAGTTTTACCACCTAAAGGTCCATGCCCTTAATCACATCTGCAAAATTCCTTTTGCTATTTAAGATACATATTTACAATTTCTAGGGATTAGAATATAGGTATCTTTGGGAGCCCATTATTTGGCATACCATAAAATTATATTAGGAAAAATAAAGCAATCAACTTGAGATTTTTAAAGTTTATTCATTTTTACCTAAAGACTCAAATTCAGATGAGGGCATAAACACATGAAACAATAATTTTACCACTTTTTAAGAGTAGTTTGAGGTTTATGGTTTGGGTTTTCAAAGTTTTCTATCACTATGAAAAAGAAACTAAATAATAATTTAACCATGCTGTCACCCTATAAGAGCTGGGTCTTGGTAATGTGGTACTAGATAAACAAGGATATCCAAAATAAAACATTTTGAAGTTATTAAACAAGTTTCTTTCAAAAAGGAAAAAAAGAACCAATATGAGTTATGACATCAAATAAAATACACATTTAATATTCTACCCTGTGAATTATATAAAAGCATTGAGATTATATAAAGAAAAAGAAAGTCATTGTTTTTTTATGAATATTTCCTAACAATAAGAAAAATTAGATTACAGACACCTTCTGAGAGCAATATATGAACATCTCAGAATACTGGTAAAGAGTCCTCAAGGAACAATTTTAAATTGTCAGATCAATAGTCCCTAACAGATGATAAAGCAAATAATTAGAAATTGCCTCATGATCTACAAAAAAGTCTACAGAACTCTAAAGGGGTGAAGGGTGAAGAAGGGAATGCTAACTTAACTAAAGAAAGGAAAATTAAAGGAAATTATGTATTTTACTAAAACACAATAAGGGATTTAAAACTTTTTACATTATTGGTATTCCTGGCAACAACTTATCAGAATGTGAATATTGGAGTTGGGTTTATGAGTTATCTATGAGTAGGAAAAAAATATAAGCAAAATATTAGAAGAAAAAGCTGTACCATTTGTCCCCCAAATGGTGGACAGAGGAAAAACAACACACTATGTATAAGAAATCATAAGTGGATTTTCCCATGTGTACACGCTGCAGGAGCTTTTGCATGATTTCCGCATGCACACTATATAGAAAACATAAGACAGGAGAATCACAAGTTCAACAATAGACTAGACAACTTAATGAGACTCTGCCTCAAAATAAAAAAATAAAAAGGGGTTTTGGAGCTATAGCTCAGTGGTTAAGCACTCCTGGGTTCAATCCCTAGTACCAGCAAAAAAAGGAAGAAAGAAAGAAAACATTTATAAAAAGTAAAATTCTCGGCTTTTAAACAGACAGACTCAGATTTTTAGGTACCAGTATCATAAAAAAGCAAATTCAAATTTGTGTATGCTGGTTTAAAAAAAAAAGAAAGAATTTCTGGTCATTTAAAAAAAAAAAAAAGGTTGTTTATTTTTAACTTAACTAACCATATAGAAGTTTACTTAACCAACTTATTCCATAAAAACTAAGCACAAAGACATCTGAACATTTATCATTATTCTATTTCTTCTCTGTTTTTTCATAACAATTATAACCCTTACTATTAAACAACTGTTATTTAATCACCTGTTTACATTTTAGTACTCTAAGTAGAGGGTGAGGTACTATTGAAAACAGATATAGAAGTTATTCTCTAAATAGCCAATGAATCACATATGTGCTGAATAAATGAACACGCAAGCCTGTGTTCCTAAAGCAAGCCTTCTTTCCAAAAGCTCAACCACCATTTAAACAAAACCTGACCTTTAAAATAAAAAAATACATAAAAATGAATTAAAAGTCAAGAAATTTAGAAATATTTAAACTAATCTTCTCAAAAACAACCACGAAATTTACTAAGTATATTAATTCCATTAATAAATAGTCTAAATGTTAGGCTATTATAACTCTTTAAAA